GAAAACTGTTTTTATTTAAATCCTTTGTTTTGTGCTCTCCTACAAGGGGAGGCCCACGGTGAACCCAGGGTTCTCAGGTCTGTTCACTACAAGCTGGAAAACACCAGTCGGAGGCGCAAGCACACCGTCAGGTGGCCAGGCCTCACTCATGCCCGTGCACTGCTGTCCGTCGCCTCGGAGCAGCGTTGGGGGTGAGGGCGGCGGGCAGCCCAGTAGAAGGCAGAGCTGCCCGAGGCCGAGCGCAGCCACGCTTGCCTCTCTGAGCTGAGGCGCCTCAGAGGCGGGTGGCTGCACCCCGGACACCTGGAGCGTGTCTGGGTTCTCCTGGGCCAGGGGGGCCCTGTCCGTGCAGTGAGCAGAGGCAGTGGCTGCACCCCGGACACCTGGAGCGTGTCTGGGTTCTCCTGGGCCAGGGGGGCCCTGTCCGTGCAGTGAGCAGAGGCAGTGGCTGCACCCCGGACACCTGGAGCGTGTCTGGATTCTCCTGGGCCAGGGGGGCCCTGTCCGTGCAGTGAGCAGAGGCGGTGGCTGCACCCCGGATACCTGGAGCGTGTCTGGATTCTCCTGGGCCAGGGGGGCCCTGTCCGTGCAGTGAGCAGAGGCGGTGGCTGCACCCCGGACACCTGGAGCGTGTCTGGATTCTCCTGGGCCAGGGGGGCCCTGTCCGTGCAGTGAGCAGAGGCGGTGGCTGCACCCCGGACACCTGGAGCGTGTCTGGATTCTCCTGGGCCAGGGGGGCCCTGTCCGTGCAGTGAGCAAAGGCGGTGGCTGTACCCCGGACACCTGGAGCGTGTCTGGATTCCCCTGGGCCAGGGGGGCCCTGTCCGTGCAGTGAGCAGAGGCGGAGGCTGCACCCCGGATACCTGGAGCGTGTCTGGGTTCTCCTGGGCCAGGGGGGACCTGTCCGTGCAGTGAGCAGAGGTGGTGGCTGCACCCCGGACACCTGGAGCGTGTCTGGATTCTCCTGGCCCAGGGGAGCCCTGTCCGTGCAGTGAGCAGAGGCGGTGACTGCACCCCGGACACCTGGAGCGTGTCTGGGTTCTCCTGGGCCAGGGGGGACCTGTCTGTGCAGTGAGCAGAGGCGGTGGCTGCACCCCGGACACCTGGAGCGTGTCTGGGTTCTCCTGGACCAGGGGGGCCCTGTCCGTGCAGTGGGCAGAGGCAGTGGTGGGGAAAAGGGGGCAGCTGGCTTTGCCCCATGTTCTGCCAGATACCTGGCCGTGGTTGGCCCTGTGGAGAGCTAGAGGGTCTCATCAATGTCCTGCAGATGCCTCCTTGCCCCCATCTAGTCTTGGTGGGGCTTAAACACTGGCAAGTTCTGGGAGACCACCTCCCGCCTGGCTGGCCTAGAGGGGGTATCAACAAGTGCACGTTCCCATTCCTCCTTGACCCAGGTGGTCCCTGGAGGACAGCCTGATGGGGCGGGCTATGCCGCTGCTCTTTCCTTGGCAAGGACACAAGACTCAGATGAGACTCGCCCAGGAGTCTGTGGAGGACTAGCACTCGGGACTTCTGAGTCCTGTCTGCTTTTCACCCATCGGCACACATACGTGTGAAAATATCCCAACCAAAAGTCACTGTTCCTAGAAGTAGCTTGTCAGATCCACCCAGAATTCTACCTTTAGCCGGTCTGTATTCATTATCTTCACCAAGAACGGAGGACCTGAAACATAACCAGCGAGTCTCCCAGACGCCATCTCAAACCACATTTACCACCACCCTTCTAGGGGCCCTGCCTCCTTTGGACCCCAAGTGTCCTCACAGTGTCCCTGGACAACAGCGGCTGGCTCAGGGCAAGGAAGAGGCTGTCGCTCCAGAGCACTTCGCTGTGGTACCTGGAAAAGCGCACCTCTCCCCCGACGTTCCCTCTTCTAAGTCAGTCCTACCAGAAGTGTTCATAAAACGAGTTCTGCTCTTCTAAAATGGCAAGATACTTTATTTTTAAAAGCTCATTAAATTTTAACACTGCACTGTTGGGTGTGAATTTTGACATCCCAGCGAGGCCAAGCTGCCATCTCACCAGCTGTCATTTACTCCGGCAGCATTTTGTCAGATCTTATTTTATACAATATATGTGAGTTTAATATAGATTCTGTAGCGCTGGAGACTGTTTTTCAGGATTGCAAAATTATGTTGTCTGGGATTGTGGTGCAAAAGTACCAGGAGAGAGATTTCAAATACGTGAGTTTCGGAGTCTGAATATTATCATCTTGGACCCTATAGCTCAGTTAATAGAGGGCCAGACCCAAAAACTAGGGTTGCAGGTATGGTCCCGTCTGCTTCCTCCTGTCTCAAGAGCTCAGTCCACACACCTTTTACCTGGCCATCCTCAGTGCAGATCCCGGGGATGGGGATGTGGATGGAGACAGCACTTCTCCTGGGAAACCCAAGCAGAACGTTTGCTGTGCTGATGGGTAGACCAGTTGTTCGCACTTGGGCTACATGGGAACATCATTTAGAAAACTTAAAACAATGTCCAGTTCTGGGACCCCAGATACTGATTCAGCTGATCCGGGCATCTGCATTTTTTAAAGCTCCCTAACAAAGACAGCGTGTGGCCAGGACTGACGTGCATGAGCGGAGGAGGACAGGTTTGGGGGCTCGTTGTGTTCCTGCCCCAGTGCTCCTGTGGAATGCTCACGTCCAGGAAGACAAGGCAGCTGTCTTCCGGCCACACTGCCCTCCCCGGCTTTTGCTCTCTGTCATTCGGTCTTCAGGGCACGGGAGAACGGTGTTAGAGCTTCTCCAATAACGAATCATAAGATTTGGTGGTTTTAGACAAGATGAGACATTTTGATAGTTGCAGTGATTGGTGACTTCAGTTTCCCCAGAGTGGACGTCGTCTGACAGGCATTGCCGGAAATGTGCTTGTGTTCAGTCAAGGAACCCGAGTGGACAGGCGTGTATCCAAGGAGAATCATGAGTACTTACACGTGGTTGGAACTTTTGGAGAAGTAAATTCTGTTCTGTGTTTATGGGTCTTGTTGGAGGCCAAGTCCCTGTTTTATGGTTGGTCTGACCGTTTGTACCAAGATTAGTATGAACATAGAAGCAATTCTATTTAAATGGCCACACAGCCTAGGAGTTCTCCACGCTGACACTGGGGGGTGGGGGTGGGGGGCTGCCTTCCATGGCACCTTTGGTTATTCTGTGGGTCTCCTGTGGAATACCCTCTTTCCATGACCGTATTACAACCCACTTCACGGAGCCTTCTCAGGCAGCCCACTCCAAAGGGATGTTTCCACTCATTACCTTGTAAGACCTTTCTCGTTTGTTCCACACAGGCTGGGGGTGGTTTCCAGGCCACCTTGGCAAATCTTATCTCCTCCTGCAGAAACTGGCTCCTTCCTTGGAGACCCAGCAGACCCTCAACTGGTACCCGCTGAATTGCCTTGAAAGACTAGCCCAGAAGATCGAGGCTGAGTTTTGTTGCTGATGTGTATTTCCATTAGTTGAAGGCACTGTGTTGGGGGTGGAGGAAGGAGAGAAGAAGGGAGGGCAGGCGTGTCCCACGTGTTCTTTGAGCACTGTAGTTTGTCAGGTTATAACAAGCATGCACCAGGCCATGAGGGCGACCAACGGGACGGTGGGAGTTGTGAATGTTCTGAAATATCCAAGCAAAGAAAATGAATTCAATGATGTTAGGAGATGCTTTGACGTGTTCAGCTTCTTACCCTAGACAGAGTGATAGAGATCAGGCATGCAGGCATTTAAACCGAGGAGAGTTTTAGTTGATAGACAGAAAGTTGCCACAGTATGTGGATATGAGTCATTTGCATTGGGACTCAGCTCCTTTGTTAGTAATATTCTCAGTGCCACCGAGGTGAACTGAACACGTACTGTGAACCAGCTGCTGAGCTGGGCACCGGGGAGGGGGGGCAATGACAAACAAAGGTGTGGCTTTGCCTTTGACCCACTTACAGACTGGCAGCTGCCGAGATGGGCTGGGTAGAATGGAAAGAAAGACAGAACGACATTTAAACGTGGTCTGATGGCAGTTCAGGCACGGTGGAAGCCCACGGAGACTGAGATTTTACACCACCAGCTTGAGGCAAGAGTGTCCCGTGGGTTCTCCTGGAGAAGGTTTGGCCAAGCTGTCTGTGAATCCAACTGGGAACTTGCATTGAAGGTTTTTAGTCCCCCAAACATCCCTGCTCCTTTTTCCTCCTAATCTGTGTGACCCCGTTCCCAGTACTTGCTACGAGAACCTTCGCTTCCCCTCCAGGCCCTGGGTCTGGCCCGTGGCTGCTCACTGCTAAGGACTAGCAGCTCCGGGCTCCCCTCCTCCCTGAGGCTTCCCAGAGCCTGTTTGTCCCTCTCCAGTACTCCCCAGGCCTTGCTGGTCACCTGCTCCCTGTCTGTGCACCCCCTGGGGCGCTGATCCCTTCAGGGGAGGGGCCTTGCCTTTCCTGTGCATCTCTGTCTCTACTCCCACTTCTAGCATCTAGAACGGCTCAACTTTCACACTCATAACTCTGCTCCCTGGGCAAGAGCGCAGGGTTACATGGTTAGATGCGAGGGCAGGACTCCAGGTCCCCTGTGGCCGGAGCGTGCTGACGTTGCTATGGTGCAGCCCTTCCTGGGTCTCCCGGGGCTGTTTTGTCTCGGGGATGGAGCTGTGTCAGGCCGACCCCTGAGGGGACAGAGTGGACCACATGGGGCTTACCCTGTCGTGCCCGTAGTGAGCAGAACCATGGTCTTCGGGCAGCCTCAGCACTAACTGAGGGGGAGCCCTGTGCCTTCTGTAGGTTCAGTGCTGAAGAAGCACCTGACAGCCCGTGATAGTGAAAAGGCATCGGGTGTAGACACAGAGCGAGTGTAAGCTCAGAGGGTCACTGCCGGCATCTGAAATGATAGTCACCGTGGTTCGTGGTGGACGAAACCATTTGCCCTGGATATTTCCCCCGCGGGCAGCGATGGGGACACGGTGTCCATGGAGGGCAGTGGGTGATAATGGACCGCGTCCTGTTCATTGCTTCCCACCTCTTGTCCCCTCGCAGAGTGCTGAACAGATCACTGAGCTGTGTAGGAGTTTTAACGACACCCAGACCCACAGCATGGAGGGACCGAGGGAGAGCCCGGACCCGCCTCCGCGGCCGCTGGCCCGCCACCTGTCCGACGCAGATCGCCTCCGGAAAGTCATCCAGGAGCTGGTGGACACGGAGAAGTCCTACGTGAAGGTAAAGGAAGGTGCACTCTCCCCTCCTCCTGTCTGCAAGGTGGCAGGGTCCCCAGGTCCCCTGCTGGGACCCCTGTGCACAAGGAGGCGCCTGCCCTTGAAGAGGCGATTGCTGCAGACGGGCAGGGGAGGGGCGGGGGAGGGCGAGAGGTGGCGGGGCTGAGAGGACTCGGGAAAGATTTAGATTCCAGCCTCCCGTGTTACCAGGGTAGCGTTCACTATGGAAACAGATGTTCCCGCTGCCTCCTGCGATCAGTGGCAGGCAGGCTGTGCTGGTGGAGTAGACGGCGATGACTTTAGGTGGCAGGGACGAGGCTGCACCTGTTCACAAGGACTGCCGAGACGGCCCGACGCGGGCCAGCTCCCACCACTGGTGCCTGTCATCGCGGGGGCGTCCCCCACGAGCCCAGGGAGGGTTGCCGAGCATCGTTAGAGCCCAGAGAATTCACTCATTTGCCTCGGAAGCTCCCAGTTAGGGTTTGAAAAACACTACGAAGAACACGGGACGTGAAGACAGTCCTCTGCTTGAAGGACTTGCTGAAGCTTCGGAGCTTCCTTGAGCTCACGCGGTTGGCCGATTGCTGGGGGCAGCATGGCACAGGGCGGCAGGGCGGGCAGGCCCGGGGGTCCCCCAGCCCCCTCCTCTGGACTCCGAGACGGGGCGTGCGCACACGCGTGGCTGCCACCTTTCTCCCCGCTTCCCATTACGTCTTGTCCCGCATCTGAGACGAGGGGAAATCCAGGGAGGTCGGGGTTCCGGACGCCCCGGCACCGCGATGGCCGTTCCCAGGCAGCTCCGAGCACCGCAGGTGTTGGAGGCCGCAGAACCCTCGCATCTGGAAGATGGTCGGGAGCTCTCACCGCAGAGCCCAAGGCCCTGTGTTGTCGCGTTTCACTATTGGGCCCACAGCCCTGGGAGGGGCGCTTCCTCATGCTGCTGGGGGACTAGACATGGACGTTATGGGCGAAGCGGACAGAGAGGACCCTTCTCTCTGCAAGAAACCTGCACTCTGTCTTCTTAGGACCCCGGGTGTCGCAGCTCTTGGGCCCCTGCAGGTCAGCACAGACCTGCTCAGTGTGTAAGTCCCCTGGGCAGCATCCGCTGGCGCGAGGAAGGACGACAGCCTGTCACTGACGGAATGACCAGCACCCGCTGTCTCTCATGATTCACGTGCACATCACTGTCATGTTTCCATTTCTTTCTGTTGCTGACATTTAACAGTTTTACTTGTTCTTTCATCTAACCTGGTTCTCTGCATGCGACTTGGAAGTTTCAACGTGTGTGTGAGCTGTGATTCAGTCGCGTCTCACGCCTCCCGGCTCTGAAGCGGCTGCTGAGGCCGGGAGAGCAGGGAAGGCCAGAGGGTTCTGTCCCGGGGCTGCTCCCTTGCTCTCGGGAATGCGACAAGGCTCGGGAGGCTTCAGGCTGGACAGAACTCCAGGTTTCTCCACCGAAAACGAGGGAGGCAGAGTGGCCGACTTTGTGGTCAGCGACTCCCACTATTTTAGGATTCAGAATTCTTCTGAATAAATGAAACAAGAAAAAGAAATCATTTCTACATGAAGTTACATCCCGGTCTTGGCTTCAGACTGTTAGATACAAATACTCTTTATTTAAAGGGTTTGGTCAATGCAGTCAGCTCCCGCTATTGTACACTCCTGGGACCAATTCACCGGGCACTGGAATCTGGCCTCCATTGTAAACTCTGATGGCTAATATTTGGCTCTTCCCCCTTGCATTTGAATATGGGAGTTTGAAATTCTGCTCATGCTTCCACCCCAAAGGGGAAGAGCTGCCCGGATCTAGTCCCGTCCCTCCAGCTCCACGCTGGAGTTGACACTGCTCCCTGGGGGGGAGGACGAGGTCACAGATGACCCAGGTGCCCGGCCGGCGCCCATCTTCTCTGCAGGGAGACGAGACGCGTGCTCCCCTGTAGGGACACGGAGATCCTGGTTCTGCCAGCCAGGCGTTGACCGAAGCAGGGCAGGTGACCGAGAGAACTGCCGTCCAGCCCCTGAGTGCGCTGTGGTTTTACCCTCTGAGCCCAGGGAGTGGCCAGACCCCGTCTGGGGTCGAGAATTTCAGTGAGATGCCGACTTCGTCGTCCTAATGCGAGTCTGGAGCTGCGGCCGGGCAGCTGGGAACCTGAGTATTTTAGAAACTTGTTCAAGAGTCTCCTTCTGTCTTTTAGGATCTGAGCTGCCTCTTTGAATTATACTTGGAGCCGCTGCAAAATGAGACCTTTCTTACCCAAGATGAGGTAAAGTCACCTTCCCTCTGTCCTTGACCCCACAGCTCAGTCTCTGCATGACCTTTAGTGGACCTCCTAGGAGATGTGTCTACTGGTCCCCAACATCCAAGCCTTGCGTGTCTTCAGAGAGACCCAGGCGGAAGGGGTATGGTTCACAGAGGCAGGCATTTGCACCCTTGTTGTAGAGAAGGCGTGACCAACACACACTTTTTCACACATGACATTTTAAGGGTAAATCGCAGGACTTAGTTCCTTTCTACTGACTTTCCCTTCCCCCCTGATTTTGAATTCTGAAAATTTTACCTCCACTTAGGAAGTTATTTGGGAATTATGGGGGCCAGCGCTGTAGATTCGCTCTGTAGCAGGTGCGCCCCCTAGTGAACAGGCTGTCTTCTTTCAAGGACTGACTTCCCTCTGCTCCCTGGGGCAGGACTCGTGATTTATCAGAGTGCTGTCTGCATCTCTGCTGCTAACACCCTCTCTCCAAACCCGACCTTCACTTAGATGGAGTCCCTTTTTGGAAGCTTGCCAGAGATGCTTGAATTTCAAAAGGTGTTTCTGGAGACTCTGGAGGACGGGATCTCAGCGTCATCTGACTTTAACACACTGGAAACCCCCTCGCAGTTCAGAGTAAGTGCTTTAACCTGATCTTCACAGCAAGCAGTGGCGGGCACGGCAGAGACGGCTCCCCTGAGAAAGAATGTGCTGTCCCCGGACGACTGACAGGGTACATTTAGTGCGCCGGCCGCCCTGTTCCCCTTGGGCAGGGGTAAGAACGGGGTCCATTTTTGTCCGAGTCGTGCTCAGAGGATGGGGTCTGCATGGCACGATTTCTGTGGCAGGTGCCTGGGTTCTGTGCTTTTCCTCGTCCACTGAAGGGTGATTCGTCACCTGCATGGTCACGTGACCCTGGGATAACGAGATGGGTCCATTGTTCTGAGCTTCTCTCCTTGGGAGCCCGGTCTCCCACGTGAGCCCCAGGGGCTGGCACGGAGCCCTGCAAGGACGGGCATCATGCACCCCAAGTAAAGCAGAGTCGGCTTCCTTACCCAGCCTCTCGGCTCACTGACATCCCACTTTGTCCGAGGAGTTTTTACAGACGTTTTCTTGTCCTCTGATTGCACTCGGGGCAGCAGGCTCCTCCGCCAGGACGTTTTCACTCAAACTCCAGATGCGAGGGGAGCGCCCGGGCTGTTCTGCGTCTGCTGTGCTCCTGGGGCGGCCGGGGCTCATTTTAGTTGGCGACCTCTCCAGGCGTTGATGCTCTGGGGTCTGAAAGACAAGGGCCCCGGGGACACCAAGCACTGGACTGTCGCAGCAGAGCCAGCGGACGCTGACACACCCATGTCTGACGTGACTTCTCCCTCCCTTTCTAGAAGTTGCTGTTTTCCCTGGGAGGCTCTTTCCTGTATTATGCTGACCATTTCAAACTGTACAGCGGATTCTGCGCTAATCACATTAAGGTCCAGAAGGTCCTCGAGCGAGGTAAGTGGCTCCTAACTTGTGATGCTGTGCTATTGTATTCTTTTCCCTTTATGATTTTAGAGAGAGAGGAAGGGAGAGGGGGAGAGAGAGAGAGAAACATCGATGAGAGAGAACATCGACTGGCTGCCTCCTGCATGTCCCCTCACTGGGGATTTGGCCCACAACCGGGACATGTGCCCTGACCGGGAATCGAACCGGCGACCTCTTGGTGCATGGGTCGACGCTCAACCACTGAGCCACACCGGCTGGACATTATTTTGTATTTGTAATGTTTAACAGATAATAAATTGTACCTAACAGGTAGGAATTGGTGCAATTGTAATGGATCATGTTCCACTCTTGACCTTGAAAGTGAAGACTTGAAGGGAGAGTTTCTGACTCCAGCCTGTTGGTCACAGTAAATGTGACCCAGAGAGCAGAGAGGACGCTTTGCCACCAGCCACTCTGCCGTCAAATTACATCTGGGTTCTTTCCCCGAGTCCCTTGATCTAAACACGTAGAACTATCAGCCCCTGGATGGGGTTAGAAAACATACACCCTTTTTTCTTTCTTATTAACCTTATTCTAAGCTCGAGAAATCACTGCAAAATACTACTATCAAGCTCCCAAGAAGTGAGTTAACTAAAATTAAAGCCTCTTTGGTAGAACTGGGAAAAACTCATCTTTGTTACAGCTCACATCCTGTTCCTGAAGCACTTCTCCACATTTTCATCATCGCACTTGATTTTACCGGCTTCGAGGGAAGACTTTTATTATTATTTTTTAATCCTCACTCGAGGATATTTTTCCATTTATTTTCAGACAGAGTGGGAGGGAGGGATGGAGAGAGAGAAACGTCGATGTGAGAGACATCGACTGGCTGCCTCCCGCACAACCCCCACCAGGGCTGGGGACCGAACTGCAACCGAGATACGTGCCCTTGACCGGAATCAAACCCGCGACTCTTTGATCCACGGGCCAGTGCTCTAACCGCTGAGCCAAACTGGCCAGGGCAAGACTTTTATTTTTTTAAGTCCAAGCAGACCTTCAGCCAACTGCAGACTTCCCTCTGTGGAGCTGAGATGCCTGAGCTTTAGGCTCTGAATCGCTGTGGGTCAGTGTGTGGGCACACGACCCACTTGGGCACTCGGCAGTGAGCCGGCCGGTCAGTCCAGCCTGGAACGTGTGTTCAGAGGTGGATGGCAGCAGTGACCTCCTTCGGGTGTGGACGTGTTGGAGGGAGTCTTCGCGCTGCATCGCTGTAGCATCCCCTTGAAGCTCAGTCTGTTCCTGTCACGCCCTGGACCGGGATGCTGCGCTGAGGCTAGTCGGTCACCGAAGGCTTCGTTTAGTTGGCTGCAGACCTCTCGGTGTGAGACTGGAATTCTCCGACGTCTCTCTCAGATGCTTTCCTACCCCATTCTTTGGAATTCTCATTGCTGGCGGCAGAGAAAAGTGGAGGAAGCATCAGTGATGCGGGCGCAGGACTTGATGCTCAAGGCTACACGCAGCAGCGACCCAGTGCGCAAGGAGAACACCAGACCACTGCCGGTCCCAGGAGCCCTCCGCTTATGAGAACACATGTAACCCTATTCAGGTTATTCCGAATTGTCTGCAGGACAGGTCGCCAGGTGCCTGTACTCTCTCAAGTGTACTTGGAAATAAGCTGGAACTGTGATGTCATATAAGTGACCCCAGGGCCTGAACGCCGTCTTCAGCATTAAGGATGGCCTCCTGTGGCCCGTTACGATTTGCTGCCTCTCTAGCAGCCAGCGAACCAGAGCTCTGGTCCATGACAGTGGCGTATGTTTGAGGAGGGTTCTCTCCCTGAACTTTCTAGTTGTGTCAACAGAGTAGGAGCAGCCGAGCTAAATCCAAGCCGCCTCTTCTCTCTGTCTCCAAATGCTTCTTAACGGCATCGTCAGAGGCCCCGGGGGCAGTCTGCTTGGACGGGATGGTTTATCCCGACTCTGACAGTGTCTAGCCAGCTGCACTGACTCGGTCCCGCCGCTCGGTGTAAAGCCGGAAGTCACAGCGCCGAGAGCAGCTCAGGTTCCACGAGGGAGCCCGGCGTGCCTCACGCTGCCCGGCCCGCCCCCCCCCCCCCCCCCCCGGCTGTCTGCTCTGTTTCTCCAGACGGGTCCGGCTCCGCGGGTCTCCTCCCACGTTCCCGTGGTTTGCTCAGTGCCTGCTGCGCCATGAGAGAAAAGGGCCATCTCCCCATCCACTTTGTCTGACAGTCACAGTCCAAATGGTACTGCATCTGCTAGAAGTGTAGATTTTGCCTTTGTAACGAAACCCCACGGAAGGGTGTATCTTCATGCAAATCGGCCGAATTCCAAACAGCTGGTCACCCAGTGCCCGCAGGTGGGATCCACAGCAGCCGTTGATGTGTCCACTGGTGCCCTCAAAACTAAGGCTGCGACTCCTGGGTGCGGCCTTCCGGCCATCGGACGGGGACAGAGGCGGTCTCACTGCCCAGAGGCGGCCCCGTGTTACATCTGGTGAAGGTTTAGATTGCTTGGAGCTGGGGAGGTGCCGGCTACAGTGCCTGTCAACTTATTTTAAAGGAAAAAAAAAAGATACTGCTTTACGAATAGCCCGTAAATGTATAGAATAAGGAACAGTTTGCTGTGACAGTGGAAAAAATACTGGTTTATTTGCTGTATGCATCTTTTTGGGGGCATGGTATAAGATCTGGATAACATGGTGGTGTGGCTTTGGGATTGTTTGAACTCACGTTTTAGGTGCCTGTGACACTCTCTCCCAGGGGTCGCTGTTCTCCGATGTGTGCCTGTGCTATTCTGGTAGCTCGTCAGCCCCCTTCGCCCGGGAATGTCACACTGATGCGGAATCCAGGCGGCCAGCTTGGCCCCCGTGGTTTGGGTGCACTGGGGTTTTATTAAGACTGGCGTTAGAGGACTGTAGACGTGGATGATCTCTAACTCCACTAAAAACGAAATGAAGTAGAAGTGAGTTCATCCCGCTGTGCTCCTCTAAGGGTCTTGTGTCCATGTGCTTGTAGCCAAAACTGACAACGCCTTCAAGGCTTTCCTGGGTGCCCGGAACCCCACCAAGCAGCACTCGTCCACGCTGGAGTCCTACCTCATCAAGCCCGTGCAGAGAGTGCTCAAGTACCCCCTGCTGCTCAGGGAGCTGGTGTCCCTGACGGACCACGACAGCGAGGAGCACTACCACCTGACAGGTAAGGACACGGAGGCACGCCTCCAACGGGACGGCCGAGCGGACGCGCCCCCTGCATGTTCTAAAACATTTCTCAGCACTACGGTTATTCATCTTAGTTATCATTTTAATAGGTGGAAAAAGTTAGATGGCCATCCCTTCAGATGGGCAAAATACTGGGCAACAATGACCTCCTTGGAGGGGCCCCGCCCACCTGGAGGAGAAGGCAGTTGAAGCCCCGTGATGTGAAACAGGTTCACTCAGGCCACGTGGGCCGCAAACAGCTGAGAACCGAGACCAGGCCTACTTTCCACCCCTGCCGTTTGTGGCGTTGGCTGCAGTGTGCTGCTGATGGAATGTGTTGGGTGCGGCTCCACCTGGTGGAAATCTCCGAGCAGAACCCGACTCAGGAAACACCCTCATGCCAGATTGTGCTTTAAAGCGCATGTTGATGCGTCTTCTCGTCACCTCGGAGATCATCGGCCTAAGACACACTCTGTCCAGCACACAGAGCCCCCAGTCTGAGAGCAAGCAGAGTACCCCCGAAAGAGGCTGTGCTGGATTAGAGGGGATAGTGACTGTTCCCCACATGTCAAAACGAGGAGGTGCTGTTAAGCTCCATGTAATAAAACGCTTGGAGACTGAAAACCTTGATAAATGTTACGATTGCCAAGTAACACTGATGAGTGTGAATTAAATGGGCTCTTTTACTATGGCAAGCATACTTTTATGTCCTAAGTAACAAGAACAAAATATTTTTGGTATAAAAGTTAAATTATGCAAGTAAATGGTACAGATTATGATCAGTGTTCCAAATACTGGGTTGTAGTCAAGTGCATTTTGCATCATGATCTTTAAAAGGGTTGTTACAAGTCCTGCCTTCCAGAGCTCCCCCGACACTGGGTCAAAATGCTGAGTCAGGAGAGCAGAGTATGAGGTGACTCGACATTCTGGTTTTGAACTTGGACAAAATCATCTTGTCCCTCACAGGCCCCTGTAAAAAATGACAAACACCAGGCACAAATGCAAACAATTTGTCTGGCAATTACGCGCGGACAGAGACATCTGTGAGTTCTTGTTAAAACTGTTATGGCTCACAGCTGCCGTACCTGGTCCAGAGGAGAGACATGAACAGCGGAGCCCTGTGGTCAGCCGCGGTGCAGGGCCGGCCACCCCCCATCTCTCAGTGGAGGTCCGGCAGTCCTTTCCCCCTGCACCTCAGCTTTCTCCTCTGAAAAATGGGGCTGATCACTGTTCCTCGAGTCAGAAGTTACCGTGGGGTTAACGGAGATGATTCACACCCATTACCTGTCCTACCACATGGCACATAGAAAGTGCTCAATAAAGAAATGGTCGGTTAGCGCTACTTTTTGCTTCCTTACTTTTTTACTTCCTGCCTCATTTCAAAGAGAATTTGAGAATAGAATCGAATTTGGGACTGGAACAGAATTGGAAGATAATTCTATTCTTCATTATAATGGCTAGGTTATAACAGGCTGTTTGGGTCAAACCCCAATAGTGCTGTTGAGAACTGGTCTTGAACCCCGTTTGAATCCCGAGTTTCTTCCTTCCTGCTGTTGGATAGGACTGAAGACAAAAGTTGTGAGATAAATACAATTGCATGTTTTGCAGAAGCTCTGAAGGCGATGGAGAAAGTAGCAAGCCACATCAATGAGATGCAGAAGATCTACGAGGACTACGGGACCGTGTTCGACCAGCTCGTGGCAGAGCAGAGCGGAACTGAGAAGGAGGTGGGGCACGGGGAGTTCTGCGTCGCCAGAGCTTCGTGCTCACGGGGCCTGTGCTGACCTTCAGGCTGGGCCACCCTGTCAGGGCCTTCCTGGAGAACAGGCCTGCAGTTCTCATTTTCATCTTAATGCTCATAATAAGCCAGCCTCGGTATAAATGTAACCAATTCAGTATCTTGGTTTAAAAATGTCACCTTATGTCATGTTCATGCTGCAAAAGAAAACCCGAAAGGTCACTGAGCTCTTAGCTCTTCCTTTCCCGTGGGGCATGAGTGAGAACATCCCAGGGGCTGAACCGGTGTGGGGAGCACCTCGTGCTTGCTCTTTCATTTCTCTTCTGTTTCAGCATGAACTCTTGGTGGCTGCCTCCTTCCCTAGAAAAGTAGTTTACGTGGAATTTGACAATTTCTCTACTTTTTCCCAGCTGATTCCTATATTTAGACTCGTGAGCTTTTCTAATCTTCCTATAAGAAGCAATGTAGTTTAAGTAGAAAAAGGCAAGACCAGAAAACAGCTGGAGTTGAATTTTTTGACGACAGCCGGTTTCAGTGCTGGCACTCAGAGCCCCCGTGTGGTTTAAGGGTTGCGATGATAACTCCTAGCTCCTGGGGACACGTGACAGAGGTGCCCTGGGCGGACCTTGCCTCTGCCGTGGAACTGATGCTGTGGTCGAGGGGCACGTCTCACCCACGTGGAGGATGTGCACTGAAGAAAAATGAAAAATAACAGATGTGAAGGCAAACGGCTTGATGCTCAGCTCACATTTTCAGAACGTCCACTGTTTAAGGCCCTTAACGATGACGCGGGACACTTGCGTGTCAGCAGGGGCTGTACATATGTGAGTCCCTCCAACATGCAACACTGCTGCAGTTCCCACACCTTCCCTCCTGTTTTCTAGGTAACAGAACTTTCGATGGGGGAGCTTCTGATGCACTCCACCGTTTCCTGGCTGAATCCATTTCTGTCGCTAGGAAAAGCCAGAAAGGACCTTGAGCTCACAGTGTTTGGTTAGTATTTCATGCCAAAGGCTGTAAAGTAAGAGGTTGGCAATAATGATGAATTACTAGGCCAGCCCACTCCCGATTTCCAGAAGGAGGTAGAATCATTAAGTTTTTGACTTAACCACTTAAAACTCCATCGCTCTGCAGACTCATTATCTTGCTCCCTGTCCGCCGTTTGTCTCCAAGCGCGGCTGGAACAGAGCTCCGAGGCTGTTCTAAACCTGCTGTCACTAGGCTGCGGCACTTCTGATGTCCCCGCACTGCGTCTCCTCCTCCCTGAGCTGGCGCAGTGCGTGTACACGGTCTTCTCTCGAAGGCAGACGCGTGTCCTCAGGCTTCAAGGAAACAAAACAAAACATTTTTTAAATGACAGGATCTACATCAGAGAATAGCTTTTGAGTAAGCAGGTACTTCTGCATCACTCATCTGAGCAGAAGGAAGCACCGCTTAGTGGCTCTCGTGCTGGTCTGGTGAGACCTTGGGGTGTCATGAGTCTGAAGGGCTTTGTTCTTCTGAAACATTCGGCTCTAGTTTGACCTTGAAGAGTTTGTATAAAATAATGAAAGAGTTTCTTTTTTCTTTTCTGTAGTTTTTAAGAGAGCTGTCATATTGGTTTATAAGGAAAACTGCAAACTGAAAAAGAAATTGGTAAGACAAAAATTCATTTTAATGAAAGCTACCATTTCATGGCTGTGTTTTCCTATTAATGTTGGACTGAGGAACTGGGTAAGAACCCAGGCATCACTAACCCATGTTACTTATTCCTAGGGTAAAAAACCAAATCAGATACTCAAGATATTTATTCTCCCCACAAAAGATTGTTTTAAAATAAGATGTAGACACACGCTCACGCTGGGCCTACATAGAACATCAGCTCCCATGTCCCTGAAAATGGCCCTTTGCTCCCTACACATGAGAGTCTTTGGTTTGTCTTTGATGACTTACACCTTGACTCAAAAACAAGCTGTGGCTACGCAAAGCCATCCAACATCACGTAAAGATGCGGAAGGCTTGGTTGTCACTTCTGCTTAGAAACCTAGAGTCCTCTGCCTCCCAAACCACGACCCTGCCCTACCCCTGCCCAGTCTGTGAGCCCCCTGAGAACGGGGCGCATGCCTGAGCTGATTCACCCCTGCACCCCCACCGCTGTGAGGCCCTGGCACGCGGGAGGACTTCCGTGGCCACACTGCGCGCGAGCCCTCCTGGGCGAGAACGTGCTTTAACTCTCTCCTGGACGTTCCTATTCCAGCCCGCGAATCCCCGGCCTGCGCACAACTCCGCTGACTTGGACCCCTTTAAGTTCCGCTGGTTGATCCCCATATCCGCACTTCAGGTCAGACTGGGGAACACAGCAGGTGAGTGTGTCCTGTGGCACAATGCCAGAAAGACTTCAGGAGACTGACTCGGGTTGTGGGGTGAAATGTGGCAAAGAACCTTGGGGATCAATTTTGATGTCATACGGGCCAGGAAACGGAGGATGTGTCCTTATAGACTTCTAGCCAAATACCTTTCTTCATTATTTCCTTCTTTTTACTACTAACACTTATTCAGTGTTTATGTTTTCTACCCTAAAATCTGTTAAAGAAACAAAGGTCCACCAGTTTAAATTTTTACAAATTTAGATACACCAGAAAATTCTTTAAGATTAAGCAGTATCGTAAATGATGTAAAAACAAGAAAAACAGTGTTCCGCCCTGGAGAACGCAGACCCTCCCAGAATCACCGTGTTCTGGCGACAGCGCCCCTGGAGGCAGGCAGGCTCCCAGCAGGCTCAGGCACGCGGTGGCATCTGCACCCGTTTCATTTCTGCCGGGTGCTTACGCTCCCCGCACCACGGAATTCGGGGCTCCTTCGTCCATCTCGAGCACCTGAGCACTTCCTGCCAAGGAATGGGGCTGAAAACCAGGGCCCACTTAACCTCTTCCGCAGAGTCCAGAGGTAGGCAGGAGATGTACGAAGCAATGACAAAGCGTTGAACCTTTAGTAAGCGCCTGGCAAGTCGCACGCAGAATGACCACAGGACGGGAATCGGGGTTGCGGGCACGGGACGTTCGAAGAAGCGACCGCGTGATGAGTTTTGGACTTGACACATGTTCTCACCCAGACTGTTGTTCTCTCGCCTTTTCCTCAGGGACAGAAAACAGTTCCATCTGGGAGCTGATCCACACGAAGTCAGAGACAGAGGGGCGGCCGGAAACCATCTTCCAGCTGTGCTGCAGGTGGGAGTGCGGGGCCCTGTGCTCCTCACAAGGCCTCCTCGTGGGCCCCCTGCACTGTGGTCACTTTGGGAGCACCCCCCACGGCAGCTGTAGCTCTAGTAGGGAATGAGCTGATTCGAAACATACCCACACCCCAGTGCTCCAGGGCGGGCAGTTCTCACTCCTTTGTAAGTGGGGGGACCGAGCACACAGGTGGGTGCCGGTCTGTCCTGAGTTGGGGGGGAATGAGCACACAGGTGGGTGCCAGTCTGTCCTGAGTGGAGGAGGGGACTAAGCACACGGCGGGAGCACTGCCGGTCTGTCCTGAGTAGGGGAGGGGACCGAGCACACAGGTGGGTGCCAGTCTGTCCTGAGTGGGGAGGGGACCGAGCACACAGGTGGGTGCCAGTCTGTCCTGAGTGGGGGAGGGGACCGAGCACACAGGTGGGTGCCACTCTGTCCTGAGTGGGGGAGGGGACCGAGCACACGGCGGGAGCGCTGCCGGTCTGTCCTGAGTGGGGAGGGGACCGGGCACATGGGGGAGCGCTGCCGGTCTGTCCTGAGTGGGGGAGGGGACCGGGCACACGGGGGGAACGCTGCCGGTCTGTCCTGAGTGGGGGAGGGGACCGGGCACACGGCGGGAGCACTGCCGGTCTGTCCTGAGTGGGGGAGGGGACCGGGCACACGGGGGAGCACTGCCGGTCTGTCCTGAGTGGGGGAGGGGACCGGGCACACGGGGGAGCACTGCCGGTCTGTCCTGAGTGGGGGAGGGGACCGGGCACACGGGGGAGCACTGCCGGTCTGTCCTGAGTGGGGGAGGGGACCGGGCACACGGGGGAGCACTGCTGGTCTGTCCTGAGTGGGGGAGGGGACCGGGCACACGGCGGGAGCACTGCCGGTCTGTCCTGAGTGGGGGAGGGGGGACCGAGCACACGGCGGGAGCACTGCCGGTCTGTCCTGAGTGGGGGAGGGGGGACCGAGCACACGGCGGGAGCACTGCCGGTCTGTCTTGGGCGCAGCAACCTGCCGCACCAGGGAGGGGACGGGCTGGCAGCTGGCTGACGGGACACTGGTGCTCTCCCTGCCCGCCCACAGCGACAGTGAAAGCAAAACCAGCATCGTCAAGGTGATCCGATCTATTCTGCGGGAGAACTTCAGACGGCACATCAAGAGCGAACTCCCCTTGGAGAAAGCGTGCAAGGAGCGCCTGGTGCCCCTGAAGAACCGTGTTCCCGTTTCAGCCAAATTAGGTGAGAACTTGCCAGCCTCGTGCGCACTCACGAGCCCGAGCTGCTCTGAACAGACATGCTCCCCCCCGGGGTGAGTCACCGCGCTGTGCATTACCGGGGTGGGCGGAGCGCTCCCGAGACCCTGACCGTCGCACCTGTTTCTTCACCGCTGCCCAGGGGTCCGGGTGGCTCCCGGTGCTCCCGGGCTCAGAAGGGCGGCATCTGGGAAGTCGGTCCTCCTCCTCCTCCTCCTCCCTCGGCAGGGAGACTTCCAAAGCACGGTTCTTCCACTTTCTGCCTGTTTCAAACGTGTCCACTTACGTTTTAGAATCTTCTTCCTGTTGTATCTATTTTGTTTTTATCTTTGATCTTGTTTTTACTCTTAAAAATGTATGTATGTCTCCTCGGTCACAGTGTGACCTCTTGAAATTTACTGTATATTTTCTGTTGCTTGTCCCTTGCCCGAACCAGCCTGGCCATCAAACTATGCTACTGTCTGCAGACACACAGAGCGGGTCTTTCCACCTTCTAGCACGCGCAGTGAATCACACACACACACAGTTACCACATCCCGTCCCCGAGCGCTGGTCAGCAATTCCACAGAGACCGTTCCATGGGAGAGAAAGAGCATTTTTCTCCTTTAAATTCAGGAACAGGGGGAATAAATAAGGTGAGAAGACAGGCAGAGAGACACGGTGTCATCTTGGTTATCAAGGTACAAAGTAAGTTAGTGAAGAAAGGGAACATAGATTTTATAACTAACTTTTCAATTTACCCATTGGCAAAAATAAGAATCCTAGCCCTTATAGCTTATTTTTCTATCTAAATAACTGAGCTCTGATAACAGGTCATCTAAAAATACCAAAACCCCCAACGTTAAATCCTAGAAGGTACAGTGCAGAACTCTGTGTCACGGGGATGCGGTTCTCTCCCTGCAGCTTCGACCCGGTCCTTGAAAGTGCTCAAGAGCCCCCGCAGCAGCGAGTGGCCGGGCGAGCCTGGCCGGGGCAGCTCCCTGGACTCCGACGACTGCAGCCTGAGCAGCAGCACCCAGAGCAGCGGCTGCCACCCCGCCGGGGGCGGGCAGGGCTCCCTGAAACACCCGCACACAGGCCTGCCCGACTTCTCGGACGGTCTCATCAAAGAGAGCGACATCCTGAGCGACGAGGATGAGGACCCCCATCAGACCTTGCCGCAGGGCAGCCCCACCAAAGACATCGAGATCCAGTTCCAGAGACTGAGGATCTCCGAGGACCCGGACGCTCACCCCGCTGAGCAGCAGCCTGATGAGGATGGCCAGCCACCGGGGGAGCAGCCCAAGCTGGTCCGGGGGCACTTCTGTGCCATCAAACGAAAAGCCAACAGCACCAAAAGGGACCGGGGGACCCTGCTCAGGGCACAGACACGCCACCAGTCCCTGGACACGCAGTCGGAAAGTGCCAGCCTCGACCTCAACTCGGTCCTCGAGCGCGAGTTCCGCGTCCAGAGCCTGGCGGCGGCGGTCAGCGAGGACTGCTGCTACGGGGCGGGGCGCCTGGGGCAGTCCTAGGACGTCCGACGCGGCCGCAGTCACCGCCCCTCCGCCGGAGACCGGCCCGTGGGAACTGCAGAAAAACTAGCCAGTGTTAGGTTTTGAGCAGTAGACGTTTTCCCACAAAATAGTTGTAAAGATTTAAGTTATTTTAATTTATTGTGGATCAGAAACCTAGATTAAACTGGTCAGAATCTGTAAATTACTTCGTTTATATCCCTTTTGAGCAGGTATCAAAATGACTTAGGACCCTTAAAACGGCAGTCTAATTATTTTAATTTATGTGGAAAAAGTAAGGTGGGAAAGTTGTGATTAATAGCTTTTAAAAAAGGTCATTTTGTTCAATCCTCTGGGCATTTTCTTTGAGCTGGCTGTTTCTGCTTTATTTAAAGCATATTTAAGTTATTTTAATGTGGTTAGGGGCACAATGTGCAGATATTTCACTTTTGTAAGGTTGTAATAGATGCTGTTTATACCGAACATGCCATATCTATGCATATATATTAAAAGAGAGCTTGTACTGTAACTTGATCATATTTATTTTCTCTACCAAGCTGTACAGTAAACGAGGAAACAGTCCCGTCTGGTAACTGGCCTCTTTGTCATTCTGTACACGTCAAGTGCACACGACAAGCTCAGCCTTGGACATCCACGCCCGGCTGCGAGCCCAGCGTGGCAGCTACAGTCCGTAACTCTCCCTGTCACCCTCTTTCTCCTGATTTCCACATTTATTTTTCTTGAGTTCCTCTCTGAAATTATAAGCAAAGAGGTGTGGGTCTTCGTCACACATTTTCCGGTACATGTCACAGAGGCTCCGAAAGTGGGAGACGGAGAGCTGCGTGGGGCGCAGCGTAGGGTCCACGTCCGCCCCCTCCAGCAGCTTCCCGGTGCGTTCTAGGCGCTGAGCTTCAGGGAATAACATTCTAAGAAGAAAAAAAAAAAATCAGAAATTTACTTTAGAAATTATGCAAACATGATGCTTCCTCCTACCCTCATTTGAAAATGATGTGGTCCTGACAACCTGAGAAGAGAGGAGGCCGAAAGCCTGGGTGGCGTCCTGCAGGGCTCCCCGCCGGGCGTCAGTTCGACCACCCGGAGCAGGGACGACCACCCAAGGCAGAGCTAGTCTGACCTGCAAGGTGTTCCATGGGAAATGTTTTCCAAAGCTCAGTCAATACCTGCGTCTTTAAGGTAAGTTTAAAGAAACATCTGTTCAGCTGCATTCTTAGAGAGAAATGTGTCAGCTGCCTCAATGTTTAATACGAAAGTTGTCTATTCTGGTGTGATCTAGCATCACTTTTGATTCTCATTTGACCGTAGCTTTAGGAACTCTTCATCCCATAAGAATGACCTTTCTTGGCAAAGTTAGAAAACAGTTGATGTGAAAACGCAAACAGTTATGTCCCCTCTTTAAGATATCTTGAAGCATCTTTAAAGTTGTTTTAAGGTATATATTTTATATTTCATCCGAGATCATTGTTTTAAATGAATAGCAAAACCAACACTGAGCCACTGTAAAGCTTCACCTGGCTTTTACTTTCTTCTCTCAGGTCTGAGGCTCTACAGAGCTAGTCTTAAAGGGCCAGTGGAGGCGGAGTGTTTCTTACAGCTGATGGTGCTCTCGGCCAGGAACTGCCTGTTCCCCAATCTCACTCGGGGAGCAGACCGAGATCTGCGAGCTCGGTGACATGGCTAGGAGGGTCTAATCGGCTTCTACCGTCTGGGGCCAATCTGTGGTGTGACTGAGGGACACCCACAGGTCAGCTGGGCACACTACCTGGTCCATATGTATAATGAATGGGGCCCATCACTGAGCTAGGGTGCTGCTTGGAAACACTAGCTCAGGCCAATTGTAGAATTTTCAAAAGCAGGATATACTTTGTGGTGTTTTTCTCCCCATGAATCAGGGCTGGTCTGTACAGTGTACGGGTCACACCCTGGGTGAAGGGTAAGTGAGAGCTGAAAGCCAGCTTGGGTTCTACTCGCCAAGTACAGCCTCCTGGCTGGGGCTGCCCCTCCCAGACATGGTCGCTGTAGCATCCCGGCCACTAACTGCAGCTTAAGTGTCTGCTAGGGAAGCAACGACTGGTAAAGCAGGGAAACGACTAATCCAGGTCAACAACGGCAGGTTGAGGATGTAACATCAGTTGTGTTAAACCCTCAAGACTGAGTTTTGTGGCTGTGACGGTCAGGATGCAGCCGCACCCTATGTGCTGAAGGGACAGTTCACACGCCAGGGAGGGGGTTAGGGTGGAACTGTGTGAGGGGTTAGAAAGCAGAAACATTCTCCAGAACAGATTACATATTAGGACACAAAACCAGCCTCAAGAAATCAAGACAACCGAAATACTATCAAGCATCTTTTCAGCCCACAATGGTGTAAAACTAGAATCAACTGCAAGAAGAAAATTGGAAAAACATGCGATTAAACAACATGCTAGGAAACTACCAATGAGTCAAAGAGGAAATCAAACAGGCAATGTAAACAACTTCCCAAAATGTATGAGATGCAGCAAAAGCAGTTCTAAGAGAGAAATTCATAGCAATACAGGTCTACCTTAAGAAACAAACAAAAAATCCCCAAAAGTCTAATTTTTTACACTTAAAGGAACTAGAAAAGAAGAACAATCTTCATTCCAAATTAAGTAGAAGGAATAAAATTATAAAGATCAGGTTAGAAAGAAATGAAATCTAGACCAATAAAACAATAGAAATAAAGCAATGAAACTAAAAGCTGTTTTTTTTTTTAAAGAAAATTGATAAACCTTTAGCTAGACTCATCAAGAAAAACAGAACACGAAACAAAATAAGTGAAAAAGTAGTTATAGCCTACCCTATGGATCATAAAGGATCATAAAGAATACTATACAGCTCTCGGTCAAGATGCTGGCATCCCTGCATCCTCCCATGCCCACATCAAAATTACAACTAAACTACTGAATAACCATAATTCACAACCCCCTGAAATCTAGCTGAACAGAAGTTCTATAATTAGGGATATAAAAAATTTTTTAGAAAAGCCATGTTGACAATGGTAGGAGGGGCAGAGTGCCTGAATAGGCTGGTGGTGGTTTAAAATCAGGAGGGATATCTCAGCTATGGAGGCCCCGCCGCCCCAAGAGAAAGGGTTCCCAGTCCCAAACCAGGTCCCCCAGCCCAGGATCCTAGTGCCAGGAAGAGAAGTCCCCATAACTGCTGTGAAAGCCAGTAGGTGCTGTGGCTGAGTGAGAGAAAGGGCTGCTGGAATCCCAGGTATTTCTCTTAAAGGGCAGCAATGTACTTACTTGAAATCACTTGTTCTGAGATTCAGGACTGGGGCAGCAGAGACATACCAGAAGGTGCCAGAGACATATGAGAAGGAAATGAATGATCTGGCTTTGGGGCAAGGGTTGGAGGGGCTGCTTTCTCCCAGACAGAAGTGCTGACAGAGGCCATTGTTCCTCTGCTGAGCCTCCCACCCCCACCCCTGAGACAAAAGGCGGGCACCATATCTGACTCTCCATCAACCTGGCTAAGGAAATGGAAGTTGCCCAGCCGAGTCCCTAAGACTCCATCCCACCCAACTTGCTGGTCTACTGAAACTGTTTTCAGGTTCTTTTCCATACAAATGCCCTGTCTTCGCTCATTTTGTGGGCTTGCCTAAAATCTCTCAAAGATTTACAATAAACCCCAAACAAGTAGCATCTGGGGCCAGTGTGCCAGTACCTTTTACTAAGGGGCCCCAGGCCCACCAGCACTAGCAGCAGCTGGCTTCAGTTCTCAGTCTGGCCTCTCCCAGAACCTCGAGCCCTGCACAAATAGCAGCAACCTGCAGATTGCCCTGTAGCTCATGCTGGGTAGCCCCAGGCAGGGCACAGCAGCATCTGATCTTGGTTTGCACCTCTTGGGAGGCAACCAGTGAATAGCTTCAGACCACTCAACTACAAGCAACACACTCAAGGGGTGGACTCAGCAGGCACCATAGCCCCGCTGATGTGAGTCCAGCTCCTTGGGGTCAGCCCCTGCACAACAGCTCCTCCATTGTAGTTGCATCCAATCCTCACAGCCCATTGGCCTAGGGGTAAATATGTCCCACTGACATGTCAACGGCAATCCAGGCTCAACTACAATAGGAGGGTTCACACAGCCCACAAGGGGGGTGGTCACATCTGCAGTGCTCAGCTTGGGTGATCTGGGAGGCTGTGCCACTGGGCCCTGAAGGACACCTACTACATAAGGCCACTCTACCAAGACTGGGAGATGTAGCAGCTCTTCCTAATACATAGAAACAAATGCAGGGAGGCAGCCAAAATAAGGAAACAAAGAAACATGTCCCAAATGAAATAACAGAGCAAAACTCCAGATAAAGAACTAAGCAAAATGGGGACAAGCAATCTACCAGATGCAGAGTTCAAAACACTGGTTATATAAGGATGCTCAATGAATGTAAGGGAAAAGTAGATGAACTTAGTGAAGACTTCAACAAAAAGATAGGAAACATAAATTTGGAGATAGAAAGCATAAAAAATCCACTCAGAAATAAAGAATACAATGGAAATGAAGAATACATCATATGGAATTAACAGTACAGTAGATGAAACAGAGAATCAAAACAGTGATTTGGAATATAAGGTAGCAAAAAACACCTAATCAGAACAGTAAAAAGACAAAAAAAAAAAAAAAAAAGGCTAGTGTAAAGAGCCTTTGGGACAACCTCAAATGTACCAACATTCACATTATGGGGGTGCCAGAAGAAGAGAGCAAGAACTTGAAAACCTATTTGAAAAAATAATGATAGAAAATTTCCCTAATTTGGTGAAGGAAATAGACATATAAGTCAGGAAGCACAGAGCCCCAAACAAGACGAACACAAAGAGGCCCATACCAAGACACATCTTAATTAAAATGCCAAAGTTTAAAGATAAAGAGAGAATCTTAAACGCAGTTAGTTACCTACAAGGGAGCTGCCATAAGAGTCAGCTGATTTCTCAACCGAAACTATGTAGGCCAGAAGAAATTGGCACAAAATATTCAAAGTGATGAAAAGCAAGGACCTAAACCAAGATTACTCTACTCAGCAAAGCTATCATTTAGAATCCATTTATGATAAAAAAAAAAAATCAACAAATTGGGAATAAAGTGAATACACCTCAACATAATAAAGGCTACATATGACAAACCCACAGCTAACATCATCCTTAATAGTGGAAAGCTAAAAGAGTTTCCTCTAAGATTAGAAACAAGATATGAATACTCACTCTCAACACTTTAATTCAGTATAGTTAAAAGTCCTAGCCATAGCAATTGGACAAGAAAAAATAATAAAAGGCTTCCAAAATTGGAATGGAAGAAGTAAAACTATTTGCATATGACATGCCACTATACAGGGTGTCCCCTCCCCCCAAAAAATGTATACAGGGTGTCTGTAGATTTTATTACATTTTGAAAATGAAATGTATTTTAATAAACACTGGATTTATAATTATTCAAAGTTGTGTACACATTTTTTTGGGACACCCTCTAAATAGAAAACCCTAAAAACTCTCCAGCATAAAACTACTGGAACTAAGAAATGAATTCGGTAAAGTTGCAGAATACAAAATTAATAAACAGGTATCCGTTCATGTTTCTATACACCAATAACAAGAAATTACAAGAAGTGAACAGACCCATTTACAACTGCATAAAAAAGAACAAAATAACTCAGAATTTAACCAAGGAGGTGAAAGACCTGTACTCTTACAACTATAAGACACTGAAGAAAGAAACTGAAGATAAATAAATGGAACAATATACAGTGCTCGTTGATTAGATGGATTAATATTGTTAAAATGACCATACTACACAAAGCAATCGACATATTCAGTGCGACCCCTATCAAACTACTAACTGCATTCTTCTCAGAAATAGAACAAATAATTCTAAAATTAAATGGAATTGCAAAAGACCATGAATAGCCAAATTTTGAGAATGAAGCAATCTTGAAAATGAAGAACAAAGATAGAGGCATCATGCTGCCTGATTTCAGACTATGCAACAAAACTATAATAATCAAAACAATATGATGCTGGCACAAAAAACAGACACAAAGATCAACAGAACAAAAAAGAGAGCCCAGAAATGAACCCTTGCCATATGGTCAATTAATCCACAACAAAAAAAGCAAGAATATATAATGGGGAAATGACAGTCTCTTCAATAAGTGGTGTTGGAAAAATTGGACAGATTCATGCAAAAAGAAAAACACATCACTTTTTTACACCATATACAAAAATAAAATAAAATGGATTAAAGACTTAAATGTAAAACCTGAAACCATAAAACCCTCAAAAGAAAATGTAGGCAGTAAACTCTTTGACCTTGGTCTTAGCTGTGTGTGTGTGTGTGTGTGTGTGTGTGTGTATACACATATATATGTATATGTATATACATATATACACACACATATACGTATACATACATACACATATATATAGTTGTTGTTGTTAATCCTCACCTGAGAATATTTTTCCACTGATTTTTTTTATAGATCGAGTGGAAGGGAGGGAGGGAGAGAGAGGGAGAAACATCAATGTGAGAGAGACACATTAATTGGTTGCCTCCCACACAACCAGGGCCAGGGATGGAACCTGCAACCCAGGTACATGCCCTTGACCGGCAATCAAACCTGCCACCCTTCGGTCCACGGGCAGATGCTGTCACTGCTGAGCCAAACCAGCCAGGGCATTAGCAATATATTTTTGGTTGTGTCTTCTCAGACAAGGGAAACAAAACCAAATGGGACTATATCAAACTAGAAAGCTTCTGCACAGTGAAGGAAACTACCAACCAAAGGAAAAGACAACCTACTGAATGGGAGAACATATTCACCAACGATACATCTAATAAGGGGTAATACCCAAAATACATAAGGAACTCATACAAATAATAACTAGAAAACAATCTGATTAAAAAAAGGGCAGAGGAGCTGAATAGACATTTCTCCCAAGAAGACATACAGATAGCCAACAGACATATGAAAAGATGCTCGATATCACTAGTCATTAGGGAAATGCAAATAAAAATAACAATGAGATATCATTTCATAACTGACAGAATTGCTATTATCAAAAGTCAACACCCTGGCCTCAGCGGTTAGAATGTCCACCCACAGACCAAAAAGTCACAGGTTCGATTCCAATCAAGGGCATGTACCTTGGTTGCAGTTTATCCCCAGCCCTAGTCGGGGTCATGCAGGAGGTAACCAGTCGACGTGTCCCTCTCATGTCAATGTTTCTCTCTCTCTCCCTCCCTCCCACTCTATCTGAAGATAAACAGAAAAATACCCTGGGGTGAAAATTAAGAAAAAAAAGTCAACAAACAACAAGTATTGGTGAGGATACACAGAAAAGGGAACCCCTGCACACTGTTGGTAGGACTGTCAGTTGGTGCAGCCAGTATGGAAAACATTATGGAAGTTCTTCAAAAATATAAAAAGAAAACTGCTGTTCAACCAAGCAATTCTACTTCTGGGTAATTCGCTGAATAAAACAAAAATACTAATTTGAAAAGATATATGCACCCCCATGTTCATTTCAGCATTATTTACAATAGCCAAGATTTGGAAACAACTCAGGTGTCCATTGATAGCTGAACAGATAAAGAAGACAGCACACACAGATACACACACACACACACACACACACACACACTGGAATATTCCTCAGCCATAAAAAAGAATGAAATCTTACCATCTGCTACAGCATGAAGGGACCGAGAGGGTATTACGCTAAGTGAAATAAGTCAGAGAAAGACAAATACCATGATCTTACTTATATGTGGAATCTAACAAAACAAACGAACAAACAAAACAAGTAAAAAGGCGCAGATGAATAAAGGGTGGCTGCCAGAGGGGAAGGTGGTGCGGAGGGTAAGAAAGTGGAGGAGAGTAAGAGGTGGAAAGCTCCAGATATAAGGTGAACGAGCCACCCGGAGGCAGTGTGCAGCACAGCAAGTCTGACCAATCACAGCAGTAACCGCATGGTAACAGATGGCTATCACACCCAGTGTGGTGATCACGTTGTAAGGCACATACATGTCGAGCCATTGTGTTGGACACCTCAAACTAATACAACATTGTACGCCAATTGTATTTAAACAACCAAACCACTCCTGCAACTGGCATCTGAGGGTGAATGGAGGTGTCTGCTTCCCTCAGGGGCAGTGGAGGCCGGCACATCACAGGGTCTGAGCTGAGAGTCATATTTATAGAGAGCTTAAGAGTTACAAAAACAAAGCTCTTAACTTTAAAACAGTGACTGAGGATTTCACGGTGAGTGCTGCTGAAAGGAAGAGAAAGCTTCCTACCCAAGTCCTCGATGGCAGTATTTCCTTCGGAACTGAAACGCGTTCTGGACGACCTTCTCCACCAGCTCGAAGGGCTGCTGTATCCTGGGCTGCGTCAGGGGCGTGAAGTGCACCACGCCCACGTCCACCTTCATGGAAGCAAACACACATCACTGCTGCACGTGTGACAGCTAAACAACGCATCTTTGCACAACACAGGAGGAAGGGTTTCGTGAATCAGCCTCACAGACGTCAGCTTCATCTTCTGTAGGCGTGGAGGATGCTCCATTTGCTTTGAGCTGACTCAGAATCACGGTGGGTTACATGGTTCTGTGATGACATCCGCTAGACCTGTGCTTGATGATTACTTATTTTTAAAATGCAGTTTTGCAATGGCCTTTAAGCCAAATAATCATGACAGTCAGTAGGCAGATAGACAACATTAGAGTATTTTATTTAGCTTTGAATGAGTAAAACATGAGCTGCAGCAGCAGTTCTGACTATAAGACTGGGCTTCAATTCACAGAGGGAAGGCGGATGGGCCCCCACGGACCACTTAGCATTCAACTCCCCAGAAAGGGAATCGATTACAACACCACTTACTCTGGGTACAGACACAGATTAATCAGCTGGACGAGTTCATAGGCGTCGTCTGCAAAGCCACACAACTTTCTGGTAGCAACTTTAAATGCCCCAGGAGGCAGAGGCAGGATCCAAATAAAAAAAGGAAACCACCAAAAATGTTACTGCTTCAGTGTTAAGCTGCTACCAGATGTCGAGATTCTTTCATTGTCAGAAAATAAAACTTTTCAGGCATATCTGATAAGGGAGTTATAGCCTGACTTATTCTAAAAACGGACTCATGCTGATTCACAAGGATATATTCAAAATAACAAAGGAAAAATATTGACGGTATAAGGGGAGAAATGTGAGTCACACACACATGCCTGGCAGACACTGATCGAGGAAACGGAGAGTCTGTTCCTAATTCACAGAAGCATTATCTCTAAGGAACTGTTAAACTTGCTACTTCGAACATCACAGACTCTACAAAGGCTGAGAAAGTACAGCAATGTATGAAGTGTGGGCTGTACCACTGCTTTTGGAAAGGTTCTATTTTTTATTTTTTTTAAACTTATCTTTATTGTTGAATGTATTACAGATGTTCCTCCTTTTCCCCCCACTGACCCCTCTCCCCACTCCCGCCCCCCTCCTGCCTTTCCCCACACTGTTGTCTATGTCCACTGGTTATGCATATATACATACAAGTTCTTTGAACTTATTTTTTAAATTCTATAGGACTTTTCATGGTTCTCAGCCTTCCTAATGCCCGACCCTTTAATACAGCTCCTCATGCTGTACGTGGGCGGGCCCGCCTGCAGACGGATGGAGGAGCGGCGTCTCGGTGCCTAAGACCATCGGAAATGTGTGTTTTCTGATGGTCTTAGGTGACCCCTGTGAAAGGGTCGTTTGACCCCCAAAGGGGTTGCAACCCACAGGCTGAGAACCGCTGTCTTAGGAGGACTTATTTCTAGGAATCTTGTAGCTACAAAACTCTTTAATATTGGCCTGCATTATGTGAGGATGGGGGACTCTGTTTTGTTTTGGTTTTTAGGGTGGAGGACAAATACTTGTATGACATGAGACTCTTTGGACAGAAGAGTAAAGGAAAATGACTGGAGACGCACCCAGCACCAGGCGGTGGGGACGGCTCCTGGGGGAGCCAGTGGCGGGTCCCAAGCGGTCTGAGCGGCCTCACGGCGAGCTGACCCGCCAGGCGGACCCGGCCCGGCACAGCCACTGGCCCTGTCCCCGGCTGTTGTCGATAAGCAGAGTGCACCTGTCTGCTCTAACCAGAAGTCTGATGGTTGGGACGGCGTAGCTGGCAGGGATGGTTCTGGGCAGGAGACTGAAAACTGCCAGGGGGTCTTCCCACACTGAGCACGCTCCCTCGGTGCCCACCAGCCTGCAGACTATTTGAGTGAGGATCACGCCCCTTTGGTGGAATAGCAGTTACTGCACTTCTCAGGGACTATCTGAAGACAATATTACATGTTTCTGTTAAGTTTTCATTGTTTTCCACGTTACTCAGTTTCACCAAGTTTAGCAACAAGAGCGTCCTACAGGAAGCCAAGTGCTCGGGGGAAAGGCCAGGACTCTTAGACCTTCAGGAAAACAGCACAGAACAGCGTCCTGGGTCTCGGAGAGGTCTGGGGTCACGACAGAGGCAACAGGGACAGAAGGGAGCACCGCGGAGGGGACCTCAGGTTTAAGCAGACAGGAGCGCTACCCGCGGCGCATTCCCGCGGCGGGGAAGCAGAGCATCTATGCCTGGGGACGGGGGGGGGGGGGGGGGGGGGGGTGTCAAAGCACACCACAAGGCTGGGGGGGCAGACCCTGCTCCTCAACTCCTGCCTCCTGCTCCTCGGGGCACAGAAGTGAACCCAAAGGTCCAGGAAGGTTCTAGACCAGGGTGGGAAACCTTTTTTCTGCCAAGGGCCATTTGGATATTTATAACATCATTCAAGGGCCATACAACATTATCAACTTAAAAATCAGCCTCCGACATTTGGTCAGCTAATTTGGTGAGGCTGTGTGGATTTTGCGGGCCTCATTTGGGCCGGACGGTCCCCACCCTGGCTATACCCCAGACTTCACCCCACCGCATCGCTCTGTAACTCTGTGTGTCATTCCTGCACCCCAGTCCCTACCGCCCATTCGGCTCCCCCGTTCTTGCCAGCCAATGCTTCCTCATCACCTGGGCTCGGTTCGGAGAGGAATTCCTCCCGTCCCCAGGTGTCAGCCCACGCCTGCCAGGCTCCAGGGAAAAGACTCTGAGCAAAACATGTGATACACTTCAGCTCTACCAAACCCTACACCCACAGACTCTCAAACCCTAATGTTCAGATACGTGAAAACCAAAAACACAAATACAGGGACAGAGGCATTCTCCTTCCAGTCAGACACCACCACCCCCAGCTTCCCTGGACTGAAAACCTGGCCTCACTTTGTCTGCCTGACTTCGTGCCCTTGAGACCCAGCAGGGTCTGCAAACACAGGACAGGCCGAGCACCTGCCTCGTGCAAAGACCTGTGCAAGCCTGGCCGCAGCCACGTGAGCGGCAGCGGTACCGGTAGATGCCTCCAGTTTGCACTTGGGTGCCCAGGCGGCGAACAGTATACTGCAGCTAAAGAAAGACGTCCCCTCATAACCAAATGCAGTTACACTTAGTGGGGGACCCTGTAAAACTCACTGTGAAAAGGGCTCTTCCAGTGACATGTCTGCTCCTCTGGGAACTCTCCACCCCCCACCCCCACCATCACCCCCGCCACCCCCACCATCACCCCCGCCACCCTCACCATCACCCCCCCACCATCCTCACCATCACCCCCCGGCACCCTCACCATCACCCCCGCCACCCTCACCATCACCCCGCCACCCTCACCATCACCCCCGCCACCCTCACCATCACCCCCGCCACCCTCACCATCACCCCCCTCCACCCTCACCATCACCCCCTCCACCCTCACCATCACCCCCTCCACCCTCACCACCCTCTTCTCTGCCCTGCCCCCACAGCGCTTCTCAGAAGTGCTCTGAATGCTGGAGCCCATTTTCTCTGAAACCACAGGAAAGCAACTTGGTAACTATGGTAACAGATAAAAAATGCTTTTTACTTATAATTGAAAGCTTACTTAAAATTACAACCATTTTTTTTCTTTCTGGTGTTTAAATCTATTAAAGGGTTGGATTACAAAAAAGAAGTCTGTTCATAATTCACAGGTAAGAAACGCACTTAGAAATTCCTGTTTAATGTTGCCAGCCTTTTTCTAAACTTTGTCTATCAATACATCAAGACTACTTACTAAAATTTCAAGTTAAAGATTTATAACGAATTCAACCATGCGCCTCTCAAATCCACTAGCACGTCAGTGCTGCTTCGATCTGAGGCCATGTTCTCAGCATCGGCAGCCTTGGCTACAACAGGCTGGAGGCAGATGTTCCGTTTCCCCGGCCAGGTGCCCAGGACATGACTGATCATGAGCTCAGGGAAGACTGAGGATTTGTAAGAGACCTGGCGTAAGAAGCTATTAAATCTCACAGCTTAGATATTGTCCACTCAGATCTCAAATCCACATGGTATGGGGACTACGGAAGAACGTATGACCTGGTTCCTAACTTTGAGATTATCACAATACATCAAAGAGCTAAATAACTGCCACACGAAACAGTATTGGCCATTATCTAAGGTCTTCAACACCTCCTATGGCCTGCAAGTCGTTCAAGGACAAGCCAGAGGAGAGGAAAAGTGATTAGAAAGTCAGCTATCATTAAACCAGCTGAGATAAAACCGTAACTTGGAGATGTCAGAAGGAACGAAGAGAAAAAGGAGTGATTACAGGGAATGACAATGAGAACTCAAGAACAATACGACACTGGTTCACAGTCCGCGTGGTTCTGTCACAGACTCGTGGAGACTGGAATGCAAAGGGTCTCCTGGTTCTGAGGCGCTGGGACCACCTGATGGAGCAAGGGGGCAGGGGCTTGGGAGAGTCATGCGCAGTGTCAGGAGAAATGACAGAGTAAGGTGACACATTAGGGAACACTCGGTTCCTCCTCCACTGCTTAATCTTTAGGTACCACTCCAAGCTAATGACAGTCTCCAGTAGGACATCACAGACCCCGCAGTTACAACTTCCCCAGACAAGTACAGAGTAGCAAGTCATTAATGCCTATAATGTTATGAATATGCACTGTGTAGGAAAACAAAATATGCACAAATATGAATGTAGATCAAATTTCCTATAATCATTCTACCTGCAATTCTTGTCTCAAGCCCAATGTAAGAACAGAATTCCAGCTGTACACACGAAAAACTCAAACACCTGAAAATAATTCCAGGTATTCCACACCAATGTATCCAACACTGTTAGTACCTACTTATCGTCTTTGAAGTGCACAGCTTGTGTTTGTTACGTAACAATACCAACTTCCACTGACGGTCCACCCCAGCCTTTTGTTCCTCCTATAGGCCTTTAAATGGCTCTCCTCTCTTTTTTTTCCTGCTCGGAATCATAAGAAACGCACAGATTTTACAGTCCTGGAGTGTTCCTTCTAGCAGCACAGGCGTGTAAGAGAACGGCGGGGA